GATCACATGACCGACACAAAGGCGTCTAGCATAGAAATACCCCCCGTCTTTACATTCAAGTTCAGATTGTCGATATGTTATACGCTGCTTGAGTTTTTTTGTTGAGAAATATAGGTATGGGCAGTCAGCGGAATGAAAGGAATTTGCTAGAGGGGTACTGAAATAATCGAAAGAATTCCGCGAGATTCCATATCAAGAAAAAAACGTGAAAGAAGAATCTTTAAGGAAGGACACAGTATTCAAGGACTCCGATTTTTCATGCTATTACTGGAAACCAAGATAACTCTAAAAAGAAGGTGAAAAAGGTCTTGTCGGACGATCAATCGTCTTCAATCATAAGCAGGTCGTGAAGTTTGCACGTGGGTTCACAAAACTGGTAGAGATTTTGGGGTGAGAATCAGGCAGCTTTTTCAGGAGTCACGCTCTACCGTGTCATATGAGATCTGGGACTGTGAACCTAGGGCAACCCATTTTATGGTTTTTGGAGGGTAGCTGTTGCACAGCAGTTCTCTTGGCCCTAGAAAGTGATCACTAGAGCCCTCAAAAAGACCTTACTACTGATGGTTGTGTTATGAAAAGAAATATTAGCACGTCAGTCATAGCCTGGGATGAGCCGCAGACTTTAACCTTCAAGAAATTGGAGCATTGTGCCAGACCGAATGAACATTTGGTTGCGCGTAAACGGGGCGAACTGGTGGCAGGGCTACTCAACATCATTTTCCAGTGCTTTGCGTTACCTTAGAGTTCCCATCTCCCAGAACAAAGTGGATACAGTGGTTGTTTGGCGTCTGTGCGGTTCATGAACAATATATTTTTGGTAGATAAGCAATTATCGACATTGAGATGCAAATCCAATGGGTAACCATCTCTGGCCAAGAAAAGCTTGTGATATCGCCTGCATCCCTGGTTTCGATTGTTTCGTATGCCGTAGTTTTGCAATGAATCGTGGCATACCACACTGGTATGAGCTGATCTAAAACCTACATTTCCTACCCACTCTCAGATACCGTTGACGCAGCAGGCTATTAATCTGTGGTTAAATATTCCTGTGCGGTTTCTCGCTGTATGAACAGAGGGTTAACTGTTATTGCAGGTGAAAGAGGAACAGCCAACATAAGAACCTCTGCATCTCGACTCCCCCTCTCTAGGCATGAGCAACCTTGTGCTTCTTTCATGTGGCATGGCAGCTAGGCACGGAAAGCGCTTTACGGCTGAACGGCTATCTTATCTTTTACTATAGTAACTTCATTGAACAAGCACTTCTAGGAAGGGATATAGACGAATGTACCGAAATGTTATCATTCGTTAGACAAGCCCTTCACCAGATGCACTTTTAACAGATGATCCTGTAGAGTATAGCTTCAAACTGTCGCCACAATTCACTTCTAGTTTTTGTCAGGGAGAACTATTTCTTCATAGACAACATAAACTACAAATAACCGAAAGCAATCTGTGCATTTCCTTGCTAGTTGTTGGAACTTCTTCACATAAAACCATCTGCAACTGACAGTTATTCAAAACTATGATCCCGAAAAACATCTGTTCTGATATCTGCATCTCTTAGTTGGTCTACTGGCGACAAATGGTTCGCCAGAGAAAACATCTAGGAACTTCAAAGGCCCCTCTTCGACGGAAGGCGCAAACTTTCAATGGGAGCGACTTTTGGGCCGGTTTGAAACGTTTGGTCTTGTTTGGTTTAGAAACCGTGTACCTTGTGCTGATGTCTAGACAATACTCTAACTTATGTTTCCCAGCCTAAATTTTTGACGGACTGCCAACTAAATTTTCGGGCATATACCTCCGTACACTTTAAGACTTGGCGTGTTAGAATGCCTCAGTTTCTCAGTGGGGTGGTGTTGTGTATTGCAATAGCACACTGAGCGGTGACGAGACGATTCACTACGCTCTAGGAAATTGCACGTATCCTACACAGAAGATTCCATCAGACGCACAACAAATCATAGTTTACATCAACTGGTTCATCGTGAACGTGGTCGTTCCAAATTAGCTGGTACACCGAGGCCCCACTGTGCCAGGCAAACTTTAAAGCTCAGATTCTTGGCAACTTTTGTCCAGTGATACATAAACCTAAAGTTTTTGGACTCATTTGATGACGATTAGTGGATTTCAGCCTGATACACTTTCTTCAAATGCGTATCATAGATGACGAGGGCAGTTTTATCAGAAGAACATCATCATGCCTGATTTGCTCCTTCGATTTCGTGGAATGTGTGTGTGTGTGGTTAGTGACAATCAGTCCGAAAATAAATCGGTCACTTATTAGGTGTTCGTCAGATACGTATAAGGAAATCGATCCAACGACAGTGAGGTGGCTTTTAAATAGAAGTGAAATTCTAGACCGATTTCCTTTAATTCAGATTTGTGGAACGCTCACTGACGATATGTTTAAAGATGGCCGGAAGTTAAGAGCTTCATGGGAACAATAAGATGCTTTATTTAAACTTTCAGAGCCACGTTCTTAGAAAAAAACATAGAAACCCCGTTTTGAAACCAATAAATAAGCGAAAATTTTGGTAAGAACGTTTGGACGACCCATCAACTTATCCAGGTGTGCTCATGATTGTCTATTAGGTTGAGCAATCTTTCCGGTGAAAAATTCCAGAGGAAAATTGTGCTAATACGCACAACACAAATTGTGATGCCATCATCAGGTTAAGAAAGTCCCCTGATGAACTTTTGCACCAGTCTCTTCAAACGTCTATCACAATTCTAATGGAACACTAATCATCTCAGGTTTGAGTGATTCGACAATTCATAAGAAAAGATCAGCAACCCTATGAGTAGTATGTTCCACCAAGAAGAAATCAATGGATTTTGCCTAACTTTACCTTTACTGTCGGTGAGTCTAACGTACGAGTTGACCTTGTATCAGACATGCGACTTAATTATTCTTATGACTGATGAACTTTCCATGGTCACACAGATATCACGTTTTTAAAACCTTTATTGGCAGGGAAAAATTAAAGTACAGTTGTTATGTGCGGCTGTGACGCGCAAATTTTTGTCACGAATTTAAATTCTCTTTCAGCTTTGTCACAGATGTGTGCATGCGTAATCTTAACTGCATAACCGTGACTGCACGGGTTGCTAGGAATCTGGTCATGTGTGAAAGAACCAGTGCGAAGTTGGAGCTGAAAAAATCTAGATCACTTACTTCGAGAATCCTCACTCAGACTTCGATCGAACGTGAAAGCAGCTTTCTTTCGTAGGCTCACTAGTTTGCTATCAGTTCCCCGAGATCCTCTCTCAATGTTTACGCGTCGCACTACATGAGCAGGCAAAGACGCACTACGTGTAAATGGTGAAGTCGGACTTGAGTTCACTGAAATTTGCCGTCGTTCGACTACTGCAGGTCGAGGTCTGGTGGTGAACGGTTTTGAGCCGTTTGTTGGAGACCGTTCCAAACCCAAAGGCCTTACTGGATTTCGTTTTAGGCACGGCGGTGCCTCATACAGTGTAAACTGATTGCCATCGGTCTCCTGGGTTGGCATGACTATGTCCACGATATCTTCCACTGGTTGAGCATAGAATTTCGGACTAGAGACTGAGTTGGATGGGGAGAAAGGATGATTGGTATCCACACTAACTGAAGGAGACACAGTACGGGCTCTAGGTGACTGTGGTGGTGGGGATTTTGCACACAAGCGACGTATCTCAACATCGGGCGTCTTGGGGCTAGTTTCCGAAACAAAAGTGTTTAAATCTTCGGTTACTAAATCTTCTGTCCGCACGAAACGCTGTTTGGAACGCTCCACGGGGACTCTGTTGGTATATGGCACAAACGATGGTGTCACGGGGCTTTCAGACCGAAGTCGAATACCATTGTGAGGTTTAGGACGTGTAACAATTTCCTCTTGATGCGGATTCTTTAGTCTCGCATAGGTTGCTCGTGGAGAACTGATAACAGGTACCGCCTTTTCCGTGTCATTCATTGTGTATGTATTCCGGATGCTATTATAAGAAGCTCAACTTTTCGGGATATGACCAAGCACGAGACCATCCAGAGCGGATTTTGCTGCTATCGAACAATGCAGAGCACATTTATGGCCCTGTCAACATAAATCGTGTGCGTGTTAGATCATCTTAGCAATGTGACAAGCTCAGGGATCAAAGAGTATTTCTTCAGGTGTGAAACACGTAGGCGAGATTGTGTGTGCATCAGTTGATACACCAAGAAACAAGCGCATTTGCCACACACTTTCCAGACGGGTAGCCGCACTACTCTACACAAACGACGTATTGATTGGTCTTTTCTACTCACTCAAATGGTGCGCGCTTGTAGGTGTGTGCGAGTTTGTGCGTGCTGCCGTGCGCTCGTACGCACAAAAAGGTAAATGCGCTACCCCGCAAGGTCACGCGATGTACCCCGGTTGGTGTACGAGTCAATCACGTGTTGTATGCGATGGACAGCTCGACTATGCTAGGATTTAGGTAGCCATCTTTACGCGCGTTGCACACTTTCGAACGCTGATGCGATGCCTTCAGACCTGGCAAGTCAAGTATCCTTTAAATAAATCATGAAAATGCACCGTCCCACGATGGATTCAAAGGCTTTTAAGACACATCGAAAGACACGGTATGGCTTGGCGACCAGCGAAACCAGGATAGGGAACACAGTGTTGGAGTGTAGGAAACAAACTTATACTCACTTGAATTTATTCGATCCATACGCTCCCATCGCTCCATTCCAACACGTTTTCCAGATTGTAAAGTTCGTAGAGCTGCCTATAAATAAAGACCTCTCATGCTGAAGGTCACGCAAATCTGTAAAGTTATAGAATCACCAGCATCCACACATGCCTGGGAAAACAATCCATTCTGGATCGTGCGATGTGAATGTGCACATGCAAAGCCTACCTCACAGTGCTGTGCTCAAACAACGTCTTACCGGGAACCGTAGTTCAGGTCAGAATTACAGTTTCAGGCAGATCAGCGAGTCAGAGATGAAAACAGTTATGATACACATTTTGAGGACATACTTGTGATCCTTGCACCGCACGGCATACCTTCGTTTCTAAGGAGGAAGTAAACAATAAAATGAGGATACGAAGAAAAATTTGGAGTGAATATAGCTAACAGGGGAAATCTTCACGGTGCGTATGGTGAAATTGGAGGTATGTACGGAAGATGGTCAGACTAGATGGTTTATCCGTTTCTGTTGATCATGACATGACCGAATAGCATGTGTTTCACAATCTAAGAAAGGTGTAGACAACAAATAAGCCCTGAGTACTTCGGAACTAGCGAATGTACAACTTCGGAAAGAAAGATATGAAAGCTGAATCCGGTGGATCAGTCCCACATCGCTGGTCCCCAAGATGGAACTGAAACTCAGTTAGAACAATGATAAGTAGAATTTCCACCAACTCTCAGGGCAACTGGGAGCCAGTCAGTACATGACCATAGTTATTCTGACCGCATATCCACTCGACTCAGTTGGCGAATGGTAAATGTTGTTGTCCACAAGCACCTGGCCACGGGAACATCATACACCTGAGGATATTCGTAGGGGAGGAAAGGTCCCGCAAAAAGATTCTTGTTCCCAGTTCCTGTGCGTCTTTTCCAGGTTGGAACTTTAAGGTGATCTTTCAAGGTCATGCAACAATTACTGTGTTACCTAAGTACTACCCACTTAACCCGTGAAAAGTTTCCACAGTTCAAACCGATTCAGACCGTTTTGGTACTAATAATGATCTTTCTGGTATAATTCACATCGTACAAACCAACTTACTTTCTCAGAGTGTGCGTTGTCCACGAGCTTTCGTTCAGGTACTGAGTTGAAGTCGATTTGACGTTTTGCTTTCCTGCCGTCGGTGATAACAAATTTTGGTCCCCTGTCAAACTGCACGACCTCTTGAGTTCTTGTAATTCACGACGTGTGGATGACAGCTCGTCTTGGAGTCGGCGAATCCTATCGGTATTTGAATCTGTCTCATAGTGACTATAGCTAAATGCAGTTGGCGAGTATGGAGGTTGAGGAGATGCCATTGGACGGTTTTCAATTGAGACCAGATCTACCTTTGAGGCTCCCATTGACGGCTGCAGAGAAGAAATATGGTAACTAGGTCTTACTTTGTACAATTAAATTGTATTTAAAAGCATTTATGTTTTGACACGAAACGATAAGTAGTTCAGTTTGAAAGAAGATAGGGAAAAACAGAAGTTACGGAAAATTCAAGATACGTCAGCTGATGCCTGACAGATTCTGGAAGAGCTCTTGAGTTAGAGATGTTTAACAATCAATGAAGTCAAGAATGGTATTTGTATCTTTTTTCATTTTAAAACTTTGGAGAAACTTTAACCTCCGCACAAATGACACCAACCCTTTTCGGCGGCGTGTGTGAAATCGCAGAAAGGACATCGGCGATCTGGATGAATGTGCAAAGCATGTGGTACGTGCATAATCAGGCTCAAATTCATCCTTCTTTCCTGCTCGGATTTGAGAGTTTCATCATCAGCTTGCATGGAATACCATTACTTAACCCATGTCCTAAAAAACCCCGGATTCTGATCTTTTTTGGAGTTCGAAGGGGTTTCTGCATGTGATGTGCGTCAATCTGCGCACACAACGCTTTCACAAAACCAATTGTTATCATCGACTGACTGACGACACCGCAATATGTCTTCTGGAAGGATTTCGCTTGTGACCAGAATACAAATCTATACTGAAATCAAAGATTTTGTTTCATTATCCCTATTAGGAATCATCGTGAGCATCTATCTCATAAAACCTCAGCGAGTTTTGAATGCATGACTTCCGGGTAGTAGTTTGAGCATGAATTCAGTAGGTCGTGCGCTGTTGCTCGGCCGTGTGGTTAGGTTGCACTAAAGATATAGCGCCGGTCCTCATTCAACCACTGGGTTACATCACGTGCTCAGATGTATTGACTGGCTTCTTGGGGGATGACTCTTCATGCGGAAGTTTCACTCATCCTGTGAAGTTTCCCCACCTCTGAGGCACTTGTGGACTTTTGGTAGGTTGAGGAGACGTGAAAAGTTTTTTATCAAGTAAACAATGAGGTCGACGAAAAATCGGAGTGCGTCTCAAGAGGAAAGAGCTCCGTCTCGGCCTTTCAAAAAGCGTGTTCCGTAAAAAAGCATACTGCTATATCTCAAAGTCTGTACAGACTATAACATGCTGGGGCCCTTCTACAATAAATTTGGTCGAAGGCAGTCATAAACAGGAGATTCAGTTTAGTTTCAATTGAGTCTCTCATGTAAACAACAAATTATTTTGAAAATGGCTGCACTTGGTTTAATTTTAGCAATGTCTTGAAAAGAATAACTTTCACACGGTATTTGTTTAGAATGAAACGCTGATTTAAGCGTCCCGCCGGGCTACACTGGGCTTTGTAAAAAATGATCATATCAGTTTTGGCTTATCAGACAGACTAAATACTGACCGTCACTTATTTGTTGTCCGGTACGTTTGGGATGAAAGGAGCGACAGCCTTGGGGGTTTGACCGACTGATGCAAATAGTGAAACAAGAATGAAATTTACAGTACTTAAGTGCTAGTTAGTTTTGCACTTTTCATGGGCACGATTTTGCAAATGTCTGGGGATCGAGCGCGCTGGCACAAAAAAATTGATCGGATTCTCCCGGTTTTCTCTTATTTACGGAAAGCGGTTCACCACTATCTGTTTCCAGTTCAATTTGAGTCTTCCTTTTCATAGAACTAGTTCGCGGTTCACTGACTATTTGTCGTCTGTTAGTTTGGGGGAATGGCTGGAAGTTCCGACAAGTCTGTCAGCATACCAGTTCTTGCACTCGATTTATCTCTGTTCAATAAGTCGTGTTTTATTTCAGGCTTGCGGAAGTAAGTTGCAAAATTGGTTTCTCCTGGTAAAGTTTGTCTGTGGTGTTTAAAAATTTCAAACTTTATACAACTCTCCGAATGACATTGACTAGCAAACAAGGATCCCGAGGTAAGACAATAGTGCATCGTGCCAAATGGAGAAAGTTGTTTACCTTGGAAATAGCATAAACGAGAGATTCGGCTGGGTTCCAGGGGTCACTCTCGAAAAACCAAATTTGTTTGCAATTGAGCCTATTTCGCTCATTTCTTTTTCTGTTTTGAGGCACTGTCAATAGGTTAACTCCCACCTGTTGCCTGTAGGTCGAACAGGTATGCCGACATCGCTGTTGTGCGAGATTCGGCGGGTTCCAGGGGTCACTCTCGAAAAACCAAATTTGTTTGCAATTGAGCCTATTTCGCTCATTTCTTTTTCTGTTTTGAGGCACTGTCAATAGGTTAACTCCCACATGTTGCCTGTAGGTCGAACAGGTATGCCGACATCGCTGTTGTGCAAGACAATATCATCATGCAGCCAACTTGAATTTTTCATGGTTTCCACTTAGTCTCTTGGTTCAAGCAGTCACCCACTATTGTCGTGATGTTACTACGTCTGACACCTTGGTTGTCAGTAAGATGTTGACATCAGTATGTCTTCTTGTGTTGCGTCAGTAAGGAGCGTTCTGTTAATGTGCGTTTATTTATACACTTTTTTCGTCTATGCTCTCAAAGCTTCATTGATTTTCGTTCGTTGACGACTAATTATCCAAGGCTTGGGCTTTCCTTCGAGCAGCTATCACCAGAAAAATATCAACCGTCATTCGATTCATCCGCGTGTTTGACTCAGGCTCTATCCAACCGATTTTTAGTATAATTAAACTGGTGATGATCAGTACTTGAATAGATCTTGGATTGCTCATCTATCACGCAGGAAGCTGGAGTTCATTTTCCACCAATATTTGTGGGACGCAGAATTCTAAAGATGGCAAGTAAGGATGAAGAATCTGCACAGGGCTGTTCGGCTTTCAGCATTGCCAGATTTTAACATGAAATCAATAAACTCTAATTTTCAAACGTATTGTTTTTGGTCGGTGTCAAAATACAATGGAGACGTGCGTTGCAATACGCGCTTTGGCTTCACTTCATCGCCACACCGATCGATAACCCGTATCATTAATTAAATGCTTTTGAAGTCAGGGTTATCAGTTACTTTAGTCTAATTTCACCAGTGTAAGTTGATGATCGTGGTAAACTATGAACCGCAGGTCTCAGAACTTGGTGCTTGCATACCGGTCTTTGAGAAGTGTGGACTTGCGGCACTTTTCTTAACAGATGAAAGAATTCATACATCAAGCTTTTAGTGAGGAAATTAGGTCGGCTTCATCGGTTGTGTATACAAGTCAACCTACTCCCAAGACCGTCATAAGCGATATGTATGTGATTTGATCATTTAGAACTTAAAACAGTCACTGCTTCTGGCACTGATTTAGAAAACATCAAAACCAGGAACTCAACTGAGACTGGTCTCAAAATTCATTCATCACCTGTCAGACATCAAATAGGCTGAGAACGTGTCACCCAGACTGAAAAATATTGTCATGGTTCTGATGAACCAATTTAAAAAACTGCTGCACATTTGGGAACCTAGAAAGCCTTAATGTTTGTGGTAAACCTGTCTAATCGAAATTCTGTTTTTGGCGACAAGGATAGATACGTGAAGATGTTCAGGTTTCTGAAATAGAAGGTTGCAAAAAACGTTCCAAAAAGCGTTCCAGCTACTGATGAGAAACGGAAGCAATAAAGCGAGGACACCGTGACAGAGGTTGTACTACTTTGAACTGAGGAGCTGCAAAGTTTGCTAGAATAGCCTTGAAGTTGAACCTGATAAACTACCGAAACTTTCTTAGGTTCGTAATTAGTGGAAAAACCCGTACTTACGTCCAACCTGCCACCACGCGATACCTGGTTTGCAAACAGGCACCTATAGAGATTGTGACTGAAAGACCAAAGGGTAGAGTTCCCCGACGTTTAACAAAGCCTACCAGCAGTTTGTGGCTTTTCAAGCCTCAGCGTAAACGGGCTTACGTCACCAGCTTTTGGAAAAACAATGTTGATGTTTCTCCATGGTGAGTATTTCTCAACAAGATCTTAATCGAAGGCAGTTACACTCAGTTAGAAGAATCAGCGCCTTCCTTCTCATTGTCAGTTATTGAAGATACTTTATTATAGGGATCTCAAAACGATTTCGCTGATTCTAGAATGTGACGTTCATGAGAGGAGAACCGGCTTTCAGGCGTGTTTTAATGTAGTAGATGACAACGAAGAGCGGAACTGGATATGATACAACGCAGGTGCGGAAGACTAAACTCATCTTTCAATCAAGTATCAAAGATTCGCGAATGAGAAGAGTGAAACGACCTGGTTGTATAACCCTAATCGTGCTCATACTTTGTTCAAGTGACGCGTTACACTGACAGATGATGACATACCAACTGTTCCGTAACTGTAAGTACGTCATCATTCAGGCAAACTCATAGCTACTGTTACAATCTTATCCAGAAAACTGCTGCGAAAACACGTCCACAAAGCAGCAAACAAACCTGTGCATAGACGTAGTGCTACCCGTGAGGTAAACCAAATAACCGGCACTCATAAATGTGATTAGTACTCAGAGCTGGTTATCCAGAATGAACTTCCAGTGTCATGTTCGTTAGTAAATAAAAATATGAAGTGACGTCGTGACAACACATGACGCTTGAAGTAGGAATACGCTAAACGAGAGATTCAGCTGGGACTCGGTTGTGTGGGGACGAATTGGTGTGCAAGTGAGTGTCCTTCGCGAATTTTGTAGACTCCCACATAGCGTTGACGGAAACTCGGGAACTGTGCTTATCTGATGAGGTCCAAGGGGGCGAAATCGATGAATCGAAGTGTTCGTAAACCGTATAAGTGATGTGGTTCTTTACTGTGTCAGGCAATGTCCCAAATATCGCCCCAGATGAAGCAAGAGGCGGCCTTTATGTAACATATTTTGTTGAAGAATATTACTACCGGTAGACTTAATTGAGATTCACGCGAACTTTTTTTTATTTCGCGAGTGTATTTATCCCGCCCAAATCGTTGCAGACACGTGTCACCGTTTCATTACTTAAAGCTTTTGGGTAAGGGGAAGGTGGGTATAATCATTTAATTAGTCAGTTCCGCGTTACCAAAACATTACATTATATATTATTATATCATAATACCATATTATATATATTTTGTTAGTTTGTTATCATATCTATACAAAACATCTAACTTCTCCTTTACATAAATCTCTTCACCAGTACACTTGGTTTCTTGTTTTCAATCAGTCTAATCAATTAACCGTGTCCTTTTGGCTTTCTTAATAAATGGGGTCGACATTTAAATAAGTAGGCTATTTTCTTTACAGAACGTTTGGAACCAGAAAAAGTGAAAATCTAATTATGGATACATAAGCCACCAAGCAATACACGGAGCAAACCAAGCATCTGTTATTTTAGCACAGGCTTTACATTTTATTACAAGTGATCCAAAAAACTTCACGAATGAGAGATCTTCATACTCAAGAAGTCGTTTCTCCGAGAGTGAGAGGACCCAACATCGTCACTTTAATCATCTGATTCCTAGTAATACGTTTACCGTATCGGACCAAAATCTCTATTACTAGCTAACCGTGAGGTCTTCGTGGTTACCAAACTGACCGATACACACCCGCATTTTTCTGACCGTATAAGAAGCGTAAATGACCCTAGAGAACGTTTTTTTGTGCATACAGGCCTATGTGTTTCGTTTAAGACAGTTTGAACCCTTATTATCGACCTCGTCAGACAACAAGCGCCTCCCACAATAGACGAATCGGAAGGAGGTATCAACAGTACATGCTTGCTATTTAAAAAAAATCCAAAGATTTCTGTTTCACTGTCCGTTCAAGAACAGTATCGCACTGCCCTAATGAAGCTGTTTGTCAAGGCTCATTCGCTCTACTGAGTGAACTAATTGTTCAAATTTCTTGCCCCATTACCTCTGCAGTAACAGATGTACAGGTTGTCGGGAGGGTAGCCGGCAGCCAATTCGGAGACGCCCACAAGGAGCTCACAATCTGGTCCGTTTATTGGTAGTCACTTATCTGATCCATTCAGCCACCAAAGTCACCCATTGAAACAATGCGTTGTCGTAATGCCTGATCTTTTCGAAGGACCTCACTATACTTATGACAACTTGATTAGAGATGACTACCCTACTGCAAAACCACACCGGCGGGTGGGTTCTCTTCATGAACTGGGCTTTTATGGTTCAGTTTTGCACCATTTAAGCTTCTCCTTAACCTAATTCAGGAATTTTGTTATAACCAGGTTTCATTACCAATGGAATAACCTCCTAGCGTTATACACACCGACGTACACACCCAAAGTACACGTTATGCGCAGTGGAAGCTTGTTAACTCTTCTTGAACAGGAGGTTTTGTGCCAGTGACAACTCCACGCCTATTCCTACCTTTTCTTGTGTCCTCACCCAAGTAACATACACGTTCCTACACCTTCCAAGCGTCCAATTAATTCCTTGGTGTATTTGCCGGCAACTCTTGAAAACTTACTAATTTGGTGTTGCGGTCGTTCGGTTATGAAGCTGGTACAAGAAGATGGTGATTACATCGGGTTGACAATGCAGTCGAAATAATGTTACTAGTTCTGATGAGACTGTACTAGTTATTTGAACTGCGCTGCTATGCCCGTCTACTAGATGTATATGTATTTTGGCAAATCTGGGATACACTTAACATGGATTCCGTTCTTCAAGACCCAGCTTCTTCATTGTTTTCGTAACTGGTAGTCTCGTACGAGTATTTTATCTCACAACATTTCCAATGGTGTTTCTTGCACCAGCGCAAAAAAGCTCTCCTTCATCTAGACAGTGAAGTTTACGGTAAAACGGATAAGTTCAATTTTTTAACTTTTGAGCTTACCGATATTTAACTGCACAATTTCAGGTATGCTTTTAGAGAACATCTTGAAGCTCGTTGCATTCGTAAGTCCAGTCCAAGGGTATTATTACCGGGAGCATACCAACAACCAAGACTTACACTCCAAACTGGTAACTCCACAATTGAGTGACCAAATCTTCAACGTTCGAGTGGTACTGCTCACGTAGTTTACATTCAGCCGGCCAACGCGATTTCGAGCACAGCAACTACTGTGCACATGAACGGTGGCTATACACAGTAAGAAAGGACTAGTAAATGCATGTTTACATATCACACTGGATATCCTCTATTCACTAGGTAATGATGTTGCACAAACCAACACTTCTGGATGAAATGCATGGTATCGATTCGATATTGATCGGTTGCCTCTTGAAACATACCACTTGCAAAAGAATCTCATGCCCTTTTACAGAGAGTTTTTCTCGCTAATGCCCACAGTAGATGGGTCGTTATGTTACGTGCGAATATGCAGTTTCTCTAAAACAGGCATGAAATATTCAAGAGAACGAAAGACAAGTGAATCCCGTGTTCACTTTTCAGTGAATAGGCATAATCCAAAAGATTCCAAAGTCGAATTTAAAGGTTCCATGTTGATAAAACATTTGCCTTAACAAAACACTGTAACCGGACTCTCGCAGTGCTTAATAACCTACATAGAGTGACAAAAATTGGAACGAAGCTCAACAGGACACACCAATTAATGTCCTTTGAGTGAAAAGATCCTCCGGCACACAGTAAGAAGAATTTTGTCATCCATAGAAACCAGTACAAGCTCTCTAATGACACTCGACACTACTCTAGTGCAGTCACTGCATACTGTCATTGCCTGTTTTGAAATTTGGTTTACTTGGTAACCTGCAAAGTTGGTCTAAACCAGCGATACATAATCCAGCAGTAAATTTATTCTAAAAATCTTCCGAAATGAATCTGCTTATTTGTTGAATTCTCACTCGATCACCTCTGTTTATTAGTTTTATCTGAGTTTTGCTAGACGACATGAGATAACACCATCCTTTAACAGCCGGTGATTAACGATGACCATGTGTGATATTCACGTTTACTAGTGTAAAGTTGGACACTACTGATAAGGCATGCAAGTAGTATGTGGTTTTCTCGCAAAACTGCTTCGGTTCTATCGAAAAGTGAGATTTATTGCGGAATTTGTAGACTTGAATTGTAGAAGCCGTTTACATTTGAGTGATGGTCAATGATTATCTAGGAAAGTTTAGGAAGACGCGTTTGAGAAGAAGGTGGATACTTAGTTTTTATAAATCAAGATGCAGAGCGGAGTCTTGCTTCCCTGTCCAATCGTCTGTAACTGTTCAGTTGGTGTTTCCCAGAGCCTTCTTCGTATCACTACTACGCTTGATTGGACTAGTCACAGAACTTCACAATATATGATGTCTAACCTCAGGATAGGGGAATCTCATCGCGTATTCAAAGAAGTTGTCGAAACTGGTGGGAATAGCTTGTGGAATGCGGACGGTATTATTACAATCTCCCATAGATGTTGAAAAGACGTTTTGGTATCTTCTAAAGCGTTCCGTTGAAGAAATGCTTCACCGAAATTTCAACTGATAATCAACCTAGGCTTTCTATGATAAGTTTGCGTGCGAACGTACGAATTTGGATTAATGCATACCAACATCTCTGTGGCATATCGCTTCCTGAAAACTTGGTCACACATCTGGCTTTCACATTAACAGAGAAAAATTACTTGAAAGCCAAGTGTGTGCGCGCTACAGTAACGCAACTTACTGAAAAGTGTCCGGTTTAATCAACTGTACACAGCAAAAAAGCTTTACGTTTAATGTGGCACACCACTCATAAATTTGTTGAAGACTCTCCGATAGCCAACGGCCTGTTTCATCCTTCTTGGGGACTCATCAGTTAGCCACATTCTCCGCTTTTCCGTCCGTTTTATGTTCTATTTTAACCCAAATTGGACAGACAAGTTTTGGCAGAAACACTCATTTGCACACTAGTTTGGTTCTGATATGAAATTTCAACTGAATCCAGTTGAATCTCTTGTTATGTTATCGGAGGGCAGCCAGAAACCTTACGATTAATGTGGTTCATCTGGACAACAACATTTCGCAATATCTCGAATATCATGCTAAGTGATACACGAGGCGGCCTGGTGCAGTACCTTTAGTTGATAGGGACCATCATGATTCATTTGTTGGGCAAAACCGCCCGTCGAAAATGACCGTGTCTTCAGTGTCGGATTACACCTATACAGATTAGCCCTAATCATGCGATGAAGTTTTTAATGGGCAATCAGAGCTGACATGCGATCAGTACAGAGGGCGTTGTTCGGCTATGAATTAACTTATAACTAGTGGGTTATCCGTCCAAACCGACGATAAGTCTCGTTTCACTTTTCGCCTTGTGCCCAAGCTGAGGAATTTACAGGATCAGACGAGTTGGAAAAACATATACACGATGGGTCCTATTCATTGCTTTGTCCGTGTGACAGACAGGTGTTGTCTGCTCGGTAAGGCGGACCACCGTTTCCCCCATCAAGTCAGCGATCAGTAGTGCATCGGTCAGCGCTAATCAGATGTAAATAGGGACTATCCTTGAATCAATAGGTTCAAAGATTGTTTACGAATTCTTGCTCCAAACCATACATCGCGAGATGTATTGTCAGCACCTATCAAAGGTACATTGTTGTTCTCACCTACCAAATGAAAAAAAAGATTCTATACCGTTGGCGAATTTGAATGGGGACATGAAAGCTGGCCGTCAACACCTAGACTCAATTAATGGTGAAGAACCCAAGGAATCCCATGGATTGAATATTGCCGAACTGAATCGGGAGATGAATAAGGCTTCTGAGATTGGACGCAACCTTACACTGACTAGTTCACAATCTTGAGGCTGTAAGGACATCCTCCAGAAAACAGAAAACGGTAACATTTAATCCCAATAGTTAAATTATGCACTCTTCACTGGTTGATTCAATAACCATCTTAATGAATAAAATAATAACCTCGTGAGATCGCGTCAACTGGGGGGGCTAATTACCTTGATTTGGGATGAGAGTTGGTGAGTTCAAATTCGACTGACGTACATAACAAGCCTTATTGGTCATGTTTTTTACCCGAATTGGGTAAGTAATTAATTTACATGTTGAGGCTTTCACACCACAGTTCTTGACTTACCGGAGCTTTCACCACCATCTCAACGGGATCCCGTTGACGTTTGATGTGTTGCCTCGTAAGTGTTGTGGCGTAGCGGCTTCCACTTGAACCTCGCCAAAGACCGTGTGAACCAGCTCCCTGCACACTCGACCAGCGTGATATGTGTGATATGGGACCTGGTGAGGATATGTGGTGCGACGCGGTGGTTCGGTAGTGTGCGGATGGCTGAGAATAACTATAGTGTCGAAATGAGGACCGCTCATTGGCGCTACGTTCGAACGCGTAGGGGCGACGTGATTCAGAAAGTGTACGACCGCGGAAATTACCTGTTGGTGGAGTGGGTAAGATTCGGATGACTTCTGAGCAAACGAATGTTCTACTGAAAGATCTTGTAACGGATAGCATTTTGGGATCAAGTTAAAGTTTGTCTACTGTAAGTGAATCATACGTTCAAAATTTCCGGAGCCCTGAAACGACCAGGATAACTTCGGCTATACGACATTGTAAACTCTAGTAGGCTGAAACCGACTAAAGCACCTCAGATGAAAGGGTATCGAAAATGATGTTAAGATCGTGGATCTATTGAGCAGACAATATCAAACTAGGTTTAATTGTCAAGGCACAATCATCAATCGGCTTTACCTCTTGACTCCTACCGATATGAGCAGTTTAGTCCTGACTATGTAAGATGTTATTACACTGTCAGTTGTATAGGGTGCACGTTACCCTTTAGCGACTTAGTCAACGAAAGGACAGTTTTCTCAGTGAGCCACTCAGTTAACTGATATCTGTTTCAACCCCTATTATCGTGCCGATGAAACGAATCGCAACCGGTGTATCAAAACAGCGAGGTCAGTGTTAAAACAATGCGTACTATACTATTTTTGAACGGGGGGAGGATAAAAAAATCACTCAAAATGCAAGTGGTTGAATAACTAACAAATCCGGATAACCGGATGTCCTGACTTACACAACTATAAATCTAGCAAGGAAAAGTCTAAAATTCCATTCACCTTAGACCATGTAATACTATTGCATAATACTTCAACTCAAGTGGATGAGGACTTTAGGCTATAACAGTGAATTAGCATATTGGGCAATCTAAGAGACCATTGGCTTTTTAAACATTTGCGTGCTGTGAAGCGGCCTTAAAGTCAACAATGAACTTTCTACGGTTCGCATCATAGTCAGTGATCTATTCTAAAACATTGTGCTTCAGTATATATTGGATATAGGCTTATATAAGGTCGAAAAACATTAACATATATTCTATGTTTATTCGAGAAATGATTACTGGAAAGAGTTACAAGCCGCAGGGGTTGAAACTGGCGGGCATGAGTACAAATAAATGTGGCGAATTACGTTTGAGTGATGCGCACCAAAGTGGACTGGGTAACTCACATTTATGCAGAATATTCGTTTCAAACGAGCTATTCTGAAGTGCACCATGGAACGATATTCTAACTTCGACGAATTGACTGTACATTGCACTATTCCTGTTCACCGCATATTTCCGCTGTGGTCTCGAAAAAACCAATGCACTCAACACAAGTAATGATGAGCGTATTCATCAGTCTTCCCAGCTTTGTTTGACACAGATCAGTCGTTGTGTGGGAATCTACTTATTCGAGTTCCTCCAAATAAACTCACTTTTGCACTTTTAACCAGCGGCTTAGACATAACCAGTAATGTGACCGAGAATAATCACGTGTCAGAGTTGGTTTTAAGACACGCGTCTAGAGGGAATCGAAATGATATTCCTTACCCCAACGACATAAATTACTATTCACTAAAGTATAACTCAGCACACACTCGTATATAATCAAGTGACAAACTGGACACACCACTTACGTAGTTTTGAATACACAAATTTCATAAACTACTTACAACTCAGTACAAGCGGAGCACAAAATATTCTCATTACGCTTCATACATCCGTGCAGCCATCTGAATAACCATCCTCTAGAGGCACCTCAAGCGGTTGACACAACTAGGGCGGTTATCGAGAATTCGACCCAGGCTTTGGGTTGGCCAATCACAATGTCCTAAAGCAAACGTATTCATTTGTACAAGATGTAGAGTGCTGACCAGGTCTTATAAGAACCAAGACAGAACTTATTGTTTTGCTGCTTCATTGTGGCTCAACCAGAATAATCTATTTCGAGTTTACAAGAAACTTGATCCCGCTGCTTTTTTCACTTACCAATAGAAGGACAGTCAGATATCTCTAGCGGTAGGGAAGTTGGGGATGCCCGTGATGCTTCTCAGTCCCAAGTGGGATATCTTGTCAGAGCTATTTGATAAACCCGACTTCTAAGGGGTACATACCACGAGGGTCTCAAGAATTAGGCATGATAAAAATGCTGTACACTCCTGACACGGGTATTACCATCATTATCATCACCCCTGTTAAGCAGTTATATGCTGTGCAGTGTTCTGGGTGACACTTTCGTTTCCCGGTGACCTCGGAAATAGGAGTGGATTCTAGGCAGTAAAGGTGGTTGCCATTATCATTGCTCGGTGAAGCCACGAATATATTGGAATTTGTTTCTGAAGGGTTCTCAGTAGCTTGGATGTCTTGGTAGTATTAAACTCGTCACCGGGCTGTGTTTGCCAACGCATCTAACATCCAGCCCGTGCGACTCCGTGTTCCCACTCAGAGAGACACAGCAGATGATATTGCTCGCAATGGATTTCATAACTCAATGCACTACCATTACTTGAGCCCCCTGACTCATCTGTACTCTCCAGAGAGAGCCGCTGGATGAAGTCGATCCACTGGGACAAGAATCACGTGACCAACCAATGGTCATTCCCTTAAAATTAGTCAGTGTCCTTTAATATTACCGGTCCGATAGTTCCACGAAAATTAAATAATGCCCTGGTGAACGTTTCAAGACCCCGGAAAAAAACAGCAAAACAGAGGAAAAAGCAGTATCGTAAACTCAATCTTTGTCAGACAAGCTGATGGCTCTTTTATGCTGCAGAGATGTAGACGTGGCCATTTCTGCTGAAGTATCGCCTTCGGTTAGACTGTCAAGACAACCAGCCAGGCAAGTGACTTTTTTGTGCTAACTTGATCGTCTTATCTTCATTCACACTTTTTACATTCTTTCAACCTGCAGCCGTAATTCACAAACTTATTTAAATGACCCCTTTTAGTTTACAATCGATTCAGGCGGAGTCATACCTAGCTTTGATCACTGCATACTTGGTGTCCTATGTAAAAAGCGGGTGGAAAATTTCCCTGAAGAAAAAGTCGGGGGGAATGAAACTGTGCTACTTGTTCACGACAATACTGACAAATAAGTTGAAGAAAAAAGGTAACAGCGGACAACCTTGAATGATGAAGTTTGATGCAGCTAATTCACACGTAAATTTATCAAGAACGAAATGTTGACCTTTCATCAATGTATGAGATGAGAGCCTCGTGGTTGGTTTTGGCTATGGTCATTTTCACCAAAAACTTATGGATCGACAGCTAGTATCGCCATCTGACTAGGTGAGTTAAATGAATTCAGTACTTTGGATTACTATCGGAAGCGTCTTACACTTTCGTTGCCTATTTGGGGTGTCAGTCACCACAGCAAAACACAAGTCACATCTCACATAAAAAGTCCTCCTATGCTCAGTTCTTGTAAATAGAAAAAAATTATGAAAAAACTGTGTCACTGCAGCGTTTTTCGGTGTTGGCTTCGGGAATCACGAAGTTCATCATTTGAAGTCGATAGATCTTTCCGACTAAAAAAATCAACCAAGCCATTCCAGTTAGGGTATTCAGGTAATTTTGAAACGACAGTAAGCAATCGTCTAATGCTATATGGTAGCATTATTAAACCAGAGTGTGCGAATAACGAGGCGACCCAACAGGGAATACTTCATCTTTGTCTTGTGTGGAACTTCTGCCTCTTCCGCTCACCCGAATAACATGTTCCGGTGACACTGCTAAAGGGAATTCTTACAATCAGGTGTCTCTTGACTCTCCCATTATTCCAAGTCGAGTCATTAGTACTGTGCCGTTCGGAGGTGTACCGATTAATCCTGATTCCTCTACCAGTCGCATTCCAGTAGGGGAATCTTTTCCCAGCTACACATGAAAACGGACGGGTTAGTTTATCAAGCAGGTTCACCATTGCGCAAGTCAAGGAGGTCTAATTACATACTCAACTCTGGTTATAGTTGCTGTTTGGCAGACTACTTGATCTCTGCAGGCCACTCTGTTGTTAACGTAATGCTGAGGGTTACACTGGAGATGAGACTACTGCCCTGGTCCTTTGCAGTAATATGCCCAATCGGACACGGTTATCTCTTTGACTGTTAATTTGTTCAGCGTACAAGATGCGTTAGTAGTGGACTCTGGTTTACACAACATAGCTAGATTTCGTAGAATAGCAAAAATGTGTGGTGCAAGCTCAGGGATTTATAATAGGCCAACTTTGTGAATGGCTTCTCCATGTAGGCATAGCAAATTCGACCTACATATTAATCATCTGCCAGCCGTCTGCATCAAGCAAAGCAATTCCTTTCGTAGATTAGTGGGAATTCACCCGTTGCATTTTATATTCGTGAGTGACACAGGAAGATGACCTTAGATATAAAGTTTCTGTGCCAGGAGATCAATCATTTACTGTTAGGTTACTGATAATTAGGTCAGCCATTGGTGATAGAGAGCTTGCGTTTTGTTTTCCAGTGTTCCACAAAACCTTCAAAAGTAGCTAGTGGGAAAAAATAATCTAGACAGCCGCGGTTCACTTTGTGACAGCACAGCGAATTCGCAATAGGATGAACTTGACAATTCCACCTTGGTTGAGGCTACCTCGACCTGTGTCTTAAGAAATAGGTTAGCTGGAAATACACTGGTGTGTCCTGGTTTTTAGCAGGAGATTATTTCACAAATCTCCGCCTAACTGCTAATTTCCAATTATTAAGTTATGAGTCTACATGTCGGTATATGCAGCATATCAATGAACCGTACAGTGTCGCAATTTCACATCATTTCCATTTTTGAAAAGCAAGCTAAGCTAATCCTGTCTAAGTTTGATATGGATTCGTGTTCTGTATACTTTCTTCTGTGATCTGACTACATTCGATCACAACACTCTTAGTGGTGATATAACCCATTCGGTATCATTCCCCTTTTACCTTTTCACTGTTTCACGGACTGATATGCGGTCACCTTCTGCATCAAGTCAATGTTGCTTCACGGTGCCAACCTGATAACTTTGGAACTTCCAGGATGACATAGTGCTGAGCTAAAATATGAAGATGGCCGATAGAATAATCCGCATGTCCGGTCTTCGCAAGCTCTACTCCAGAACACAGTTTTGTTTCCAAACCTCCTCTAAGAAACCCAAATCAATAACGGTTCACACGAAATCGTCATTCAAGTAGCCGCCCAACATGTGACCACGTGATGTGGATCACGTGGTCCTGGATGACATTCAGAACACGATTCCTCTTCTTATTCACTCAGTGGATCTGGTGTGGGCGATACTTTGCTGCAGATTTATGGTTCGCAGATGTGTAGCCTATAGAACGGTGTACACTATAACCTACAAATTGCGAATGATGAGTGATGTCAACGCTCCACTGATTTTGACCGCTCACATGCTATCAACAAAAATCGAAGCACTCTGTTGATCGTGTGATTTGTGGCACATCTATCAAAAACAATCTGTTCATCTTCTAGACCTGCGTCAACGTCGCCACTGCTGCGATACGCAACGCACTGTCATTGTACGGTCTTCCCACAACGCCGTAAATACAGATGCCTGACAGCTTACTGGTTTAGTTGAACGATTGGTATTCAGTACCTACGTCGGCACCGATGTAAATCTAAATGCACAACAAAACACGTCAAAGGGTGAGAGGAAGAATGGAACCTAGTGCCACATGCTTTACTGGTCTTTCCTCTAGGCTGCCCATCTACAGTATTGGCGTCGTCATTCTAATAGTGTATCATATCAATATAGTCGGTTCACTTTATTATGCAATACAGCTTCTGTTTGACCCATAAAAGTGCTTGGTTAACAATCAAATAAACACCGTTAGGTTAAGATGCTTTGAATGTACCCCCCCGCAAACAACTTTTGCGGAAGGGCTCTGGCAAAACGTACTAAGACACTTATAAAAATTAAACATTACGCATTACGGGGTTGGTAAAAGTGCTTGGTTAACATTCAAATAAACACCGTTAGGTTAAGATGGTTTGAGTGTACCCCCCCGCAAGCAACTTTTGCGGAAGGGCTCTGGCAAAAATTAAACATTACGCATTACGGGGTTGTGGAAATCTTGCAGATTTGTTTCCTAACGCAGCTGAAAACCTCGTCGAAGAACATGTACAGTGAGGGAAAATTATGATATGTGGACTGTACAAAAAACTGCATTTAGATCTGGAGAATGCTTGAATCCAACAAGCGTAATTTTGTTATCGGCTGCTTGAGTAATTCAGCGTACTTTCATCGCTGTAAGCTGAGAATGTCGGAAAACCTTTTGAATAAAAGTCCACCGCCATCAAGTTAGCATGTCTTGTCATGGTGCAAAAATTGAAGTTTTCTGGTACAGAAAAACATTTGGCGCTTGAAACTAGGAATTTAGATTGACGTGTAATCCACGCCTATCGGATAAACACATCTAAATTTGAAAAGCAACTCTAAAAGTGGATAAGAGCACAGCCTGGAATTATTCGACACCTAGGTCAGATCCAATGCTAATTATCCGTTTGTCGCCAATCGACATGTTGAAGTTCTCTGCTACTAAGTCTGGTAAATTGGACTACCATACAATTTTCGAGGAATACTCCTCTGATATTTTCAAACAACATGGTTGTCTACCAAGTACCTCACTCTGTAAAATCCCTTGACAACTTCCAGCAAGAAGAATTCAAATAGCTTTGCATTCCAATGGCACTGTTGTGTATCGAGCTGAAACGCTGAAGCCTGACCTCCAGTCAAGCTTTCTCATTTCGCCTGGTACGCATTTTCGGTCGAGTTATATGACTATCCCTGTCTTCCGGCTTAAAGAGACCTTGAAATATACTTTAAAAACGATTAATTCCAGCATAAGACAAACTTTCAAACGCTACCTGAGTTGCTGATGGTGTTTTGATATTCAGCGATCTTTAGGCTGATCAGTGACGTCAGTTGCCCTGTCTGCTCTCAAGCAAGCAAAATTGATACGGCCGAATTGGCTCTGTTATGGAACTGCGGTGAAGATCAGCAAGAGGCATTGAACAGACTAAAGCAATGCACTAATGAAGCACCTCGTTTTGCTCACAATCATCCACATAAGCAACTATTCTGAAGCACCTCTTTTCGCTCACAATCATCCACATAAGCAACTATTCACTTGAAGCTGCAGTAGCTGATTCGGTTTGTTGGAAGCGACACTTCCAATGGGTATGTCAATTGCCTGAAGGAAATGCTATCTATTGAAACAGAATAAAACTTCATGCAACCAGAAAAGGAAATGTTGATGGTACAGTTTCCGTCTAAACTTTCCGGCCCTAAAGGTTTAGCGATTGTGAACCATATTTGCCATCCGAAGGCATTTTAGCAATGCATAATCGCACACAAACGTAGGACTACGAACTTTTGTCATCAGGGAAGCCGAGTATATATTGCGTATTCGTTTTCCAGTGCCTACGACCCACACGATTTCAGTAATCAGAAGTGACAAATCGTTTGTGGCGTGGATAACTTTTTCAAAACTATTCTCAATAACCATCAAACTCCTCAGAATATGCTTCGCCTAGTGTCCTAAATAATTTTAATTACCACTTTTTCACACAGAGGTAATCCCCACTAGGTGACAGAAATTGAAACTGGTGTAACGTTGATACTACTGACGGGAAGGAACGCGAGTAGTATGTTTTGTTCGTGGAATTTCGCTTTGCATCTCTTGAAAAGGGGAGATCAGTTGCGGAATTTGTGTAGTCGCATCTTAACATTTGATGACAGATGATGAATTATTGGAGTCAATGACAGTCCAGGAAAGTTCAAGAAGACGCATTCAGGAGAAGATGGATGTCCGGTTTTTGTAAATAAGATGCAAATGAAATTTTTGCTCTGCCGTCCAGTGGTCTGTAACCGGTCGGCTGCCATTTTCTAACGAATAACTCAACAGCGAAGGCCTTCTTCCTTTCACTAGGTAATTTCTCCCCTCTCCCTCATTTTAGGTGTTTCACGATGTGTGATACCAAACCTGAGCATAGTTTCAGTCTGATGCCAGATACATTCATGCTGCAGTCATTACTCGCAAAAAGGAATAATAGAGTTCCTTTATGTAAGTCATGTAGCCGAAATTTTCTATCTGTTCAGCATCCGTGTGGCTACACATTTATAGCTATACATGCACTTATGTATTTCGCAAGACACTCAAAGATTTAGGATATCGCTTAACGCCAACTCCATCGTTTTAATTCCAAATGAATATGGATGCATTTCTTGATTTAATTTAATTGATTTAGTCAGCTTGTTCACATTGGCCATTTTAAACGCTCGCTTCCACAGACGTTGCCAGATGTCTCCAGGTGCTGCCAGATGTGTCGTCAAAGAATCTGGTGGTAATTATCAGGTACCAGTACCCAGAACAGAAAAATTAATGGGAGGGCGTGTTCTCTCATCTCTTTATTCGGCAGTTATCCTTGAAAAGGTTATTTAAAAAGCGGCGAATAAATAAGTTATCAGTGGTAACAGAGGAGAGCATTCATGTTCCTGATCAAAAGTGTTCCCGTTTTAACGAGTTTATTCTGTTCCAGCAGGTTCTAAGCATCCGTGACGCTTCCTGATTAGGAAGTCCTGACAGGTGGCTAGTTCGATCAGCACAACAGGGACAGTCGCTGAGTCGTCGTTCGAAGTAACAGGTAAACCAAGAACACCACCCAGGCTTGAACACAATCACATGATCAGGTATGTTAATTCAGGTGCCTTTCTTCCGCCCTCGTAGAGCAGTGGTGACATGCTCACCCTACATGCCGGATGATGGACGTCTCGACCCAGGTAAGGGAAAGGAAATGCTGATGAGCTTTGATAAGCATGAAACTCGATTCCAGTGTTTCAACCCCTATTTGAAGTGGACTTATTTGAATAATTGTGCTGATACTGAAAGGGGATTGTTTAGGCGACGGTGGTCTGAACGTATATCCTACAAATTCCACAAACACCGAAAATTACGTTTGCTTATAAGACTGCTGATAAAAATTTATCAGAGGATGAAAACTTGGTGTTACTGTAGTTCACTAATATCGATCACTACTCAGCTATTTTTATTTGAGTTACTTACTTTCCGAATGTGTCTCCCAGATTCCGCCCTCCGACTGTCTCCGAAAGAGTCTATTTCGAGCCCCTGTGTCACCCAGGTAATATCGTGACCCAGGAATAAGTTGACCACTTCGACTTATGTTCCCCAAGCGGGTGGAATGCTTCTGATCCATTGGCCCATGCACGCTCCCACCACTGTCCAGATCTGTCGGTCAGTGTGAGAAAAGAATAGTGTAAAATGAGCGAGCGGGTGAATCTAGTCCAGCTGGCACCCATTGAAAAAGGAAAGCATATAATTCAGTATTTGGTATCTAAATCAGTTTACAACGTAACTAGTGCGCATCATATAGTCAAAAAACGTTCTGCGAGTGCACTAAAACTGGCATGATATAACATAGTGTGGGAGAAAAATCAAAACTAAGAAACACAGCTGCACACTTGGCGAAATACACTCGTTTGCAAACAGAGTTGGCTTTTTGAGAGAAAAACCTGGAGCCCAGCTGAATCTCTCGTTTATGAGGGAAATTCAGGGACTGAGCCTACCTTATGAGCCATAAGAATGACGAAACCGACTGTGGGCTGTCGAAGAACGTTCAGCAACCTTACGAGTATTGTATTAAGTTTATACAGTTACACACATGGTTTTCGTCATAAACGCTTGAGTAAGTTTATCCTGAACCTCACTCTGTGAATTTCATACCGGATGATTAGTCTATGTCTGCTTTTGTGTGTTCCACGGTAACCTAGTGAACACACCTAATATGCAGATTGAAACCATGAAAAATCACCTGTGATTTGCGTTCACGCAGTTATATGCGACTGCATTGTTTCGTACTATTAGTAGGGTCAACAATAATTGATTCCTTCATTAGGTGACTCGATTGTGATATGATAGTGCGTCCACCGCACGCATCTCTCATATGGAACAAAGAGGTTTTCTTGAATATGATCATTTTTCGGTCACTATTACTGAAACAATAAAAGTAGTTGGCACAGTTTCATTAAATTACAATCCACTATAGATAACACGGTAATAATGGTTGGGCAAAAGGACTTCGGATTGATGAACGGATTCACCGCTGTAAAACCTCTGGGTTAGGAAGGCCATTACAAAGCAGCAGCGGGCAACGTCCGCTACAGGACAAAGTCATGAAATTCGTAGCCGATACGGTGTGAAAGTTCCATTTTGGCAAAGTAAACATGGCTGTTAATCAGCCTATCTTGATTGAAGTGATCGCACTGTGACCTCTGTCATCTTTTTTTTCTAAAAATGTTTTATGTATCAAACAATTAGTGTCCATCGCTGAGCCGACTGGGACTTGCTGTCGGTTTGGGCCACAAACGTGTCCGGTCCTGATGCGGAAAAATGTGCAAATGCGTAGAGTATTTTACCCAAAATTTGAGTTGAAGTTTCGTAAACAATAGTCAGTGTGATGATGCACTTGGATTTTACCGAGCACCACTACTAAGCAAGAAGGCATTAAATGTTCGAACTCGAAAGTTAGGAGGCCACGTGCTGTATGGGGAAGCACGATGCCAGAATAACCTTAAAAGTTTCATCCGGCGCTTTTTGAGTACCTTGCTCTGGCGTCTATCGTGCTGTACATCATAATTCATGAAAGAAAACGGAAAATTTCAAAGCTATACTAAGAAAAGTGGAGATTATTCTAGACTGACGTCCCCGGGGGAAATTTCCAAATCGATTTTTTGGATTTTTCAGACTGATACATGAGTTCGAAACATCCAGGCAGAAGTTTGTTCCACTGTTGGGGGCATGCTACCAGGCAGAACAAGCTTTGATACCTCTAAAAGGTAAATTATTTGGGGAAATAGATTTCAGTTTTTCTTGAATAAGCTCAGTATTCGGAAAAGATATTGTGTTCATAAGTAACCCGTTTTTTATTCAACAGTAGTCACCACAACTAGTTGTGAATTAGGTTACACGCCTGAAAGTTTTTCACGCACTCTTTAAGAGAAGGGACCAATGTAAACGTGAGATGTAGCTAGATTCATTCAAGTCCCCCATCAAAACCACTTTCGTTTAAAATGCGAGTATTTGTGGATATCAATCTCAACTGGTTCAAGCAGAACATGGGGTTAACAGAAAATTGGGGACTGTGCTCAGCTGATGAGCCTCAAAGAGGGCAAAACTATTCGTAAGCTGTCGTTGAGTTTCCAGCTACCTAGTGAGCAATGTGTTACGTCCACAAAACAACGTATTTGGATGTCTCAAGTATTGTACTAATCTAAACATGAGCTATTCCGGTGCAGCACACCCAAGGAAGCGAAGCACCATAAACGAGAGATTCAGATGTATCCAATTGAGTCGTCTGTCAAAACCAAATCCATATGAATATGAAACTATTTGTTAATACGAGATAGTTATCTATGTCTGACAAGCTTCATGCAGTCAAAATCCTCAAGATCTTCCTAAATCCGCCTGGATTGTAACTGCACAACTTTTGGCATATTTGTTCGATAGTTTGTAAGTCATAAATACTTTGTTTGTGGTCGGTTTCCTGAATGAGGAAAACATTGGTGCAGAGCGAGTTTTTCATATGATTGTGCGATGGAAGGATGAGAGAAATAGTTTGCCGGTTTGCTTGTTTGGATCAATAATCTGGTACTGTATGTGTTTGTTTGGACCGGATTGTTTTTCCCCGTCTTATTTACACACGTAGGGACAGATGCAGTCGCATATTTTTGAATCCGAAGGTGAATCGATCGAATGTGGGCGAGAGATAGATGGAAATGAACTATAAATGGGATTTGGCTCAAGCCACCTATTTACACATTTCAGCCAGGGATACGCTAATAAAAAAAGTGGAACTGTGACTGAGAACAGTGGTTCCTATATATATATA